CTCGCTTGCCTTCTCATAGATATCTACCGCCCCCGTGTGGATCAATAATGTACGCACACCACTGTTCTCAGATAACACTTTAGGCAGGAGAGTTCTTATCTCAGCAACTTTAGCAGAGTGAACTGAGACAGTGAGCATGGACTCCATGTTTACATTTTTCACCGAGCCATCTCCGATAAGGACACAGTTTGTCCTTGGTGGAGGCGCTGCAGTTTTTAGCAGCTTTGTTGTAGAGACTACTGCTGATTCATCTTCCAAAAGTGGTGAAAAGCGGTTTCTTGTAATTAAAGATTTTTGCTGTGGCATTATGACACTCTTGTTATCATTAGCTTTGCCTTGTTTGGGCTTGGCACCATATGTGTTCCAACAATTGTCTCTGTTGATTTTGGGAAATGAAATAGCGTCATCATAACTTACGTTCTGTCCATGTGGTCCATTTCCTTTCACTGGTATTGTTGTGTTCAGCCCCAATTCTGATTCAAGTACAAACATTCGGTCTTGAAGAAGTTTTAGCTCCTGTTTGAGTGAAAAACAGCCGTCGCAAAGTTTTGTTCTTTCCCGTCCTCCCGACATGCTGTAAGTTAGGTAAATTCCACAAGTCTTGTGTTGAAGTTTGTAAAAAGGAGTAATCCGTGTTTTGTGGAATAAAAATGTAAGCAAAAATGATTAAAGGAGATAAAAAAGCAGCAAGCGAGGAGCAGCAAGAGAATGCGACACAACACAACATGACGCGACACATTTCTGTTATCCTCTGGTCAAATTAACCTGCCACAGTGATTCAAAAATACCCTAAATAAAACATTTTAATCTGAATTTTGATGACATTTTCTATTTTTACCGGCCCTGACTCATTCATACCCTTATAGACCCCAATTTAGATATTTTTCTAATTTTGACCCAAGGATAGCACAAGTTTTAAACATGATCCGGTCTCTTCCCATTGGCCAAAACTGATCAAGTGATAGTTCACAGTTCTGCACAAGACCAAAAGAACTCTAGATTCATGTGGAAGTCATCATACATCATCATAAACTCGAAACCTTTTACATATTTGACCTTTTAAAGCCTAACACAGTGTCCTTCTTTGTTGTTTCTGATTTGAAAGCCTGTCTATACACAAAATCTGCGAGAGGTTGTGCGTCATCTTTTGTGCGTTCAAAACCTTCGTCACTGGGCGTTCGACAGGCTGTCATGTCTTAACTTTGGAGATGTTGACTCTGGTAACAGGCAGTGAATCATAAAATGTGTGATTCATAGTTCATTCATGTCTGGTGTCTACGCCCCCTGTAGATCCAACGCTGTTTATTGGACATAAATGGTGTACTGTAGGATGACACAATTCTTTGCATTATTGTTAAGGGTGACTTACAGTCCCTCAAGATGATAAACTCGGCTTCCGTTGTGCTTTTTGCAACGTTCAGAGCAAGTTTTGTTGTTGAAATGGTAAGGAGTAGAAGAAGAATATTGATTCCATTAGTTCCTGAGTATTTGTTAATGTTGTGACTGCTGACAAAAGCAGCAGGGTAAATTGTGTTTCTGGCAATTTCATCTGAACCAATATTGTAAAACTCACTGGACAATACTCAATGCAGATGACCCAAAACAAAACAGATCCCGGCTGAAGCTCACAAAGAAGAACATTACACAATTAATACTGAAATAACATGGTTGGTTCATGCTGTAGTTATTTTTTTCATCTGTTAGAGAAACATGGTGGCTGCAACAGAGAAGTCGCCTGGAAAGATGCGCATTGACAATTCCATTTGCCTTATCATTGAACGTACTATCGCCCTTGCTGGATGACAAAATTAATTCCTTCCTATGGGCTGGCTCCGGTGTGGGCTGGTCTTAGCCATCCATAAACTCTGGTCAATTATCATCTCCCCACATGTAGGTTGGGTTAAGTAAATAAGTCATCTTTATCTATAGCGTCTTTCACAGACCAGAGTCACAAACCGCTTTACAGTTGTTGTGGGCATTTGTCTCTCACTCCACACAGAGATGGAAGTGAGGTTGCCAAGCAGGAGGCACATGTCAGACCTATAGTACATGGGTTCGGTGATATGGGAAACTGGAGCACTCGGAGGAAACCTACGCAGACACGGGTAGAACATGCAAAGTCCTCACCGAAAGGCCTTGCTCCAACCAAGATTCTTGCTGAGAAGCGAAAGTGCTATCCACCCAGCCACCTGGTCGTCCATATCTGATCCTAGTGGCTGCGGTTAGCTTGGTTGAATCCCCTCCAACCAATCAGCGAGCGGCAGAGGCGGGAGTTGTGGGGAGGTGTCGTGACCGCAAGAGTTTCCCACCGAATTTGATGGTTGATAGTAAAGTAATCTGTTATTGTGGAGCCGGAAAAAGCGGAATGTTGAGCAAATCATTGCCTCATTGCTGGCAAAGATATTATGGCTCTACCCCCCATGGTTTCCATTAGTGGCAAAGAAGATGGCTAAAGCTAGGCTACATGCTAAATGCCTCACTCACGCATTGCATACGTTACAGTAAACTCAGATCTAATCGTTTCAATCTCGCTCAATCCACACTAAACTGTACCAATGTGTTACATAGAGGTCAATGATCACTCAAAAGTCCCAGAATGTCCGGCGGTGAGGAAACCAGAAAACTCATGATGAAGTCGCTTTTGACAGCATTTGGGATCATTTCTTTCATAATTCCAAACAACAAACATGGTGGTGAAACCGCTTGTCAATCGCTTTGCCCGACGGAGCAGAAACAGTTGATCTGCCGCCGTCGTAGCTTCACTCTTGCATCATGTTTGTGAGAAATACAAATGATGAGGAGCTCGTCTATACTGAAGTGTCTTCTGTGGGTTTGTATCGTCCCTAGCAGCATGTGGTAAAGCTCCATAGCCTGAGGTGTAGTCTATATGTGGAGATAGTACACGTAGCAAAGTGTTAATTGTGGAGGCCAATTGGAACAGCGGGTTCTCACATAGTCTTGTGTTGGCTCAGAAATAATACATGTACAAAGAATATGTTGTCAGAATATTCTTTATCTATATTCTGGCCCAGTTACTTATTCTTTTTATGTCATGGTGCAATTTAGGCTCCAAACAAAACCGCTCTAAATTTACAATAACTTCAGGGTAAATGTATTAATCCATGCTAAGTGAAATTGTGTGCACCATTTCAGCGCTTTAGGACATGTGCAGAAAAAACAGGCTGATATTCACTTTTGCAAAAACAGAAATGCTGCATAAATCCCCATTTTCTATAAGCACAACAAAAATGAAATAAATGAATATAGATAGATACTTTTATTAGTATTATTTATCCCTCAAGGAGAAATTCAGTGGACCATCTTGAGCTGATAAAGACAAAACAGACAAATATTTAAATAGGTAACATCCAAAAAAACAATCTAAACCCAAGATTAAACCCTGTTGTTCCTGGGATAAAAAGTCTACAGCTCATGATGAGGTCCTCGCTGGGCCAGCTGGATGTCCTTGAGCATCATGGTTGGCCTCTTGGAACTATGGAGCACAGATGTCCTCAAACAGACCCACGAGGTACAGGTTGTTCCTGAAGTCCTGGCCAATATCTCTGACCAGGCTCTGAATGACAGTACAGTCATAAATCCTGATCCCCTGGACCGGACTCTGGATGAGCAGCTCGGACTTGGTAGAGGTGGATTTCCCTCAGAGCCTTCCGATGTCCGGGGCGCTCCTGCGGTGTATTTGGAGGCTTTTCTCTGGTGGATTCACACATAGTCCACTTGGTTTAGGCCATATTCTCTGCTCTGGATTTTTTTTTTTTAAATGGCAGTGGTAATTACAAAGTGTATGCAAAATATCACTGATTTATCGACCTGACAAAACACTTTTTTTATAGAAAACTTGTCTTCTTTGTTCCTTTCTTCATTTTGGACCTTTTTCTTGAGTAAATCTCACACAGCGGAAGGTTGATATGAGGCTGATGGCTTGTCCCCTGTCCATGCTCCTCGTGCTGATGACTTGATTAGGCCATCATTACAGTTCAGTCGCAGCATGGGTGATCCGATAGGTCAGATATACCCTTCCCTGTTACTGGACTTACTCGAAGCAAGCAGACCATCTATGAGACTTCACTCAGGGACACTGGGTGAACAGCACAGGCCACATTTAAGCATTGAGCCAAATTGACCGTGAAAACAAGGTCTATTCATTCTGCAACAGATTAAAATGGACAGTTGGAAAAAATGAAATAGATTCAAGATTAATTTATTATGTCCCGTAGGAAATTTGTCTTGGACTCACAGGCTGCTCTACGGGAGCTGCCCAGCTCCCTGAGACAGGGAGAGGAGCTCAGTCACAATAAAGAGTCCCAGGCATGTCCAAGGAGACACTGCTACTGTTACTATATTACTACCCTCCCTGTGGTGTGGGTGGTGGGCATGAATCTGCGTGCATGTCTCTAATATTAAATCCACTTCTGGTTGTAATGCTAATGTAATTGTGTAAGTGTATAACAGTGTAAGTATGTGGCAACCAGCAATTAGAACTATATGTGTATGTTGGTGGATCTATAGTAGTCTACAAGGCGTGCATGTTTTTTGTGTTGGTAGATTAATTAGACTTTAAAACCACCTCCACCGTTACTAATTACTTTATTGACCTTTTTTTTCACTCCCCGTAGTTGTGTGCTTCAATTGTGTTCCAGTTTGTGATGATTGTTATGCATGAGACATTGTAGATGAACGCTGGGTGTATTTTGATGTTTCTTGCGCTGTAACAGGCAGCCGTGGGAGAAGCCTTCATGCTGCCAACTCCTTCACTGCCTCGAATATGTGAAGCCAAAAATAAGCATTGACATGTTTTACTCTGGGGATAACAGGGAAGTGCTCTGGGTGTTGCATTTAGGGTCAAGTGTATAACAGGAGAAACAGTTGTGTGTCTTACATGGAATAGTCCACACCTGGTTTTTTTAATTTGATGCTGACAAACTTTATTCAAAATGTTACTGTACTTGTTCTCTTTTTCTTTGATGAATAGCAGTGTATTAATGGATGAACTGTTGCACGCGGTGAAACCAATCATTATTAATTGACCTGTTGCGATTGTTATAAATCGTTCTTCTTCCTCTGTTTCAGATCTTCACGCGTTACGGCAAATGCTACATGTTCAACTCGGGCCAGGACGGGAAGCCGCCCCTGGTGACCTTGAAGGGGGGGATGGGCAACGGGCTGGAGCTCATGCTGGACATCCAACAGGACGAGTACCTGCCAGTGTGGGGCGAGACCGGTGAGTGACACAAGCAGACAACACAAGTCAAGCACAAATATGATATTTACTCTGTAAATTTAACAAGTGCGTGTGAAACTTGGATGTTTAGTGTCGAACACAAATATGTTCAATTTTGTTGAACATGACACCGAAATATGAAATGTTTTTGTGAGAAAATGTTACAATACTATGTAGTGATGTTTCTGACTTAAATTTGACTTTAAGTGATCAGAGTTTTATGTTGGCATGAGTCATATATTTATGACCACCAGGACTGGCCTGGTGACTGGCAAAGGCCAATCAAAGTAATAGAAAAATAAAAATAAATCATGACTAGTGAAATAAAAGTTCTTTCATTTATAATAACATAACATAAAAAACTTTCACTAGAATAACTAAACGAGTAGATATTTGCAAGAAAAAAGGAATCGTGCGAAGAGTCCAGTGAGAATGCCTTCTCTTAATAAGGAGGAGTAATAAAGAGTAACCAAGTAAGATACTGCACCACACTGGATAAAAGAATTACAGAAACACAGAATACGCAATCTCTTTATCAGGCCCTGGAAGACTGCAAAGTCCCAATCCAAAACGTTTCCTTTTGGGCAATAAACAGTCTCCGCCTCCCATTGAAATGACTTTCAGGAGATTGATGTTGCAGGAGGCTTGTCTAAAATGTTGTGCTCAGGGATCATTTGGGTTTTGTGTCCTTAAAACATATACTTAAGTTCAGAGAACTGGTCTCGTAATCTCCAATGGGTTGGTCCGATACAGAAGGACCCACAATTGCCGTCCATGACACGGGGAGCATTACAATTTTCTAATCCGCACTGGAGAGTTGAACAATAGTCACAGGCCCACATTGGTAGGTGCTCGGTGGTTGAAGGAAGGTTTTTTCTGAGGCCGGGAAGGCTGTACTTGTTCACTCTTCAGAGGAAAATAATGACCTTACATCGTTACCAACTTTTAAACCCTGTTTCACGCAGCATGGTCCCTTCCACAACAACACAAAATAAGAATTATGAATTCCGTGTCCACATGCAAAAACAACATCCGCAGGGGAGTAACAAAACATATTCATTGGTTTTCTTGCATTTGGCCCTGAGCTGAAAACATGTTCTACTTTTCCCATAGAAGTCAAACGCTTAGTGTAAAGTTATTTCAGAATGATCGTCTCTAATCCCTGAGATACAAACCCGAGTTCATGGTAAGATGTTTTAATGCTCTTGTAATCCCATTTGGCATGAGCTAATGCAGCATTAAACACATGAATAAAGTATTTTCAAGATCAATCATAAAAGTACGACAACAACAAATATAAATCAGGATTCTCAGTTGGTTTTTAAATAGCATACACATTTCTTTGAAGTTTTAAAGTTTTTGATTTGACATTCTAAAACCAGCCATGTGCAAAAGAAGTACTGTCCCAAAAGTATTCATCAAAAAGATCTTGTTCATAGTAATATTTGTTAGTTGGTCGCTCATAATGTTTTTGTTGATCCCTCTTCACACAAACCTCCCATGTCAGCGGCGGAAACAGCTTCTGGTGCGGACACAACATGAGTTAATAAAATCCGACTGACCGAGGTTTTTGAGCACTCTGGACTTGTTCTGAAAGCCTCATTAATAACACATTACAAGGTGACTCGAACAACTCAACTCCCATTCTCTCTTACCTTCGTTCCTTGTCCTGGACGCACGGTAAAACCAGACTAGCAAAAACTAGCATCCTATCGCTACTAACACTTGATAATCATTTAGTCAATAATAATGACTTAATATTGACTCGGGAACGTAGGGGCGTTTGTTGAATTGGATGCAGTCATACGATTTATGTAGGAATTGCGAGTAATTTCAGATTATCCTTACGTAGTCTGTGTCATAATTTAAAATCTCACTAGACACTTCTGTTGTCCGTTGCCAGCCTTATTATTCCACTCAGTTTTCCTCCAAATATGTGACAGAAATCCAGAGTTGCCCTGCTGGAAATGATGTCTCACTCGTTGCCTTGGTAATGGAGGTGATAGACAGGATCCTGGTAATTCCCACGAGATTAACGGGGCAAGAAAATCCCAGGAGTCATAAACCGCCATACGGGAAAGTGCGGGTGACTTATTTTTCTGTGACTCAGGCTTTACTTTGCAGATACAATAGTGGCAAGGTAGCATTTTTTTAAATTATATTTATCTTAGTATGTATCTTTTGTGTTCATATAGTGCGTTCCACAGACCAAGGCCACACAAAGAGCTTTACAATGTTGTCGTACCAGAGATGTCCATTTACTCCACACACAGTAGTGACAGAAATGAGACGCACAGACACATCGAAGCCCCTGACCGTCACCATCTATTCACTCTCTCATTACATTCACTCCCATTGCCCATGTTTTGAGTGGTAGGAGAAACTGGAGCAACCGGAGGAAAACTTCCCAAGAAGAACATGCAAACCTCACACGGAAAAGCCTGCCCTTGGAATTGAAAACAGGACCTTCTTGCTGTGAAAAAACACCACATATGGAGGCATTAGCCCTCTGTAATCGGAGCTTGGAGGGTTTGATTCCATTTTTTTTGTATAGCCCTAGATCACACCTGCAGTCAGTTGTCGATTCGCTGACACAGATCAGAGAATCAACCCGTTACGATACAGGAAATTCAATAATATTTATGACCCATGTCCATAAATGTTAATGAATGTGCGCTAACTAAAAGGGTTGACACATCAGGCCTTCACTGTCACTGCATTGTAGTTACAGTACAATAATTCTGGCTGAAATCTATACAAATAGAAGTAAGTAAGTAATTTATGTAGCGCCTTTCACAGACCAGAGTCACAAAGCGGTTTACAATTGTGGGTATTTTGTCCTCTCACTCCACACAGAGATGGGAGTGAGGTCGCCAGTACAGGAGGCACATGCCAAACCTATTGTACATGTTTTTAGTGGTAGGGGGAGACACAGGGAGAACATGCAATATCCACTCAGAAAAGCCCTGTTCCAACCGGGATTCAAACCCAGAACCTCCTTGCTGAGAAGCGAGAGTGCCGCCCAATAGAAGCGTATTCTTTATTTTTTTTGCTGGTCCATTGTCATTGCCTTTGTGTGTTTTTTAAGGTCACATATTTGGCATTATCACGGCGCTTGGATAAGAACATAACATTTGCACAGACATTTGGATTTAGCCTGACTTATATTTTATAATACACAAAGTATAAATTAAATATATAATTAAAAGCCATGCAACAGAGAATTAACCAATAGCTTCAGGAAATGTTGTGGAGCAGGATTGTAGTGATTTTTCTAGGATGTGTGATGTAATATGCTTCATTAATGAGCGGACATGATGTGTGGACACTGCTGCTCTGCTAATACCACCTCATTACGCCTGCCCACTCATCTCATGACTGAAGTTTGGAGCAAGTCAAAAGTCGCCTGACACTTGCATTGAGCTCAGAGGTGGGCGACAGGGCAGAAAATGCATTTTATTGGCGCCACTTTGTGATTTACTGCTTGTTTTTAGCATCTTAAGGAATCAATGTTGATGAATGTGCATTGTCCCAACTCAATAACTACATAAATGATAAATAAATGAAAATGAAAGGAAGGACTCAAATGATCTAATACAGAGAATGAAAGTCCACGTGCAAAACAGGCTCTGGAGCAAAAACACACAAACAAAGGCAATGACAATGGACCAGCAACAAAAACATACACACATAGACACAGAGAGACACAAGTGAAACGCATTAAGACAATAAAACAGGGGAAAAGGAGAGGAAAAAAGAGAACTGATGTGAAAATGAAAAACAATCCACTCCATGCCCTCTTCTCATCATGGACATCACTCTCACGGGGACCCTCATAGGGACCCTTGTACTCTGATATGAATGCATGCTTTTAGATTAGTATGGTACATTTCTGCTTAATTATTGATGTTGTCCTACTGATCTTGAAGTGAACTGGTAATCATTAAAACATGATTACTTTGTGGCACTCAGCAAACCCTACATAATAATACCAATGAATTCATGGTCACAGCGCTGAATGAGATGTATCCACGGAGAAGCTGTTCCTTTGTAGATTGTAGGTGGGTCAATGTTTGTATGTTTAGTGTAATTGCTATAGACTATAAATCTCCAGCATAGACTAATATTTGTGCAGGTGACTAAAGAACACAAAGCTTAGTAGTAGTGCAAAGAGGGGCAGGAAGAGAATTAAGCAGAACAGGCGATTGATATGAGAGAAATGTAACAGTGTTTTGTGTGTGTGTGGAATCTAGGAACATAAAAGAATTGGGCACAAACACAAAAATGACAATGTTTCGAACTGTTTGATTCTGATTCTCTTTGTTGGTGAATCCTCTGAGACGACTCCTGTTGAGATTTAGGGTTGTACAAAAATATTTCAAAAAAGCTTATACAGTGCCTTGCGAAAGTATTCGGCCCCCTTGAACCTTTCAACATTTCGCCACATTTCAGGCTTCAAACATAAAGATATAAAATTTTTATTTTTTGTCATGAATCAACAACAAGTGGGACACAATCGTGAAGTGGAATGAAATTTGTTGGATAATTTAAACTTTAAAAAAAAATAAAAAAAGTGGGGCCTGCAATATTATTCGGCCCCTTTACTTTCAGTGCAGCAAACTCAGTCCAGAAGTTCAGTGAGGATCTTTGAATGATCCAATGTTGTCCTAAATGACTGATGATGATAAAATGAATGCACCTGTGTGTAATCAAGTCTCCGTATAAATGCACCTGCTCTTTGATAGTCTCAGGGTTCTGTTTAAAGCGCAGAGAGAACCATGAAGACAAAGGAACACACCAGGCAGGTCCGAGATACTGTTGTGGAGAAGTTTAAAGCCGGATTTGGATACAAAAAGATTTCCCAAGCTTTAAACATCTCAAGGAGCACTGTGCAAGCAGTTATATTGAAATGGAAGGAGTATCAGACCACTGCAAATCTACCAAGACCCGGCCGTCCCTCCAAACTTTCATCCCAAACAAGGAGAAGACTGATCAGAGAT